TAACTTAAATGTTCATGTTACCCTTGAAATTTAATAATCTATCATTTTTCTAAAATCACAAGCATGAAGATAACTTTGGCAGTCTTTTCACGTGTGGTTAATTTGAATCTGTATTACATACAGCTAACACACTGAAACGTGTTTAACTCCCTGAGGCTAATGCGGAGATTGATCCCGGAAAGTAAATCCCTGAGATTTCAGTATTTGATTCGCCCCAGAAATATTGTTAGCATTCTGGGCGCGCCCATTGTTCCAAGCATTAATTCCAGAACTTGTTCTGTCTAATTGATTGTCATTTTGAGTCTGTACGAGAGATGACATCAGGCATAGAAGACTTGACTATCATTACAGGACGTGAGTAGAGGAAGGCAGGAAAAGTAACGGCTTGAATGTGAGACGAAGCCCTTCCAGACTGGACAGGAGTGAATGTGAAAATGAGGGAGAGATGAAATGTTTTAGTAGAATAGACATGTGTGGTGCTGTTATAATAGACATGCTTGGTGTACATCTAGATTAGATACTACACATATGCGCTTGTTTCTCCACCACAGTTCCCACATTGGGCAGGGACTAGTAGGCATCCATTCTTTGCCGACCGTCTGAGTGTAACGACCTGCTTAAAGCAGTGAGGTCGACAAACTGGAAAAGGATAGGCAGGGTCTCAAGCTGAGAACTGCCAAAGGTTGATTTTCTCCAATTTTATGAGTTATGTATAATTTCATCAGTAACACCATCTTCACTCTACTAGCCTAAAACCGTTCATTTTATTTTTGGTTAGATTTATTCAATAAATCTTGTTCATGTTGTTAGAAAATAGTTGAGTAAATTGTGTACTTAGGTTCAAGTGTCTCTGTGCATACTAGTTTACTTCAGGAGAAAGTCGGAGGGGTTAACTGTGTATCTTGATATTATCTCACTGGGTTCATCTTGATATCTATCTATCCCTTCTCCTACTCCTGTTGATGCAAGTACAGCTACTTTCATTTAATGGAACGAGCCATTCGCTGTTTTCTTGGCTATCCAGGACTGTCTATGATCAACATAGCCTAGATATTAGTCCAGATTCTCTGGGGGGGGGGGGGGGGGGGGGGGGGGGGGGGAAGTGTTGAGAGGTAAACTCCTACTTCTCACAAAAGCATCTATCCACTTTGGAACCCACGACACTCGGTCAGGACCCCTTCCCCCATGACATTCATATCAGCATGTGAACGTCTAGCCACGCATCCGCGCGATGCTGGATAAATATCAAATTGACTGACTGACTGACTTTCTATCACACCAGGACATCACACAAGCGATAAACACCCGATGACACAAAGTGCCACCATGTAAAAAAAGATTACAGTGGAGAGGTCCCTGAAACCGCGTTTAGCCAAAAGGCCATATTTATGGCCTGGCTATATTGCGGCCTCTGGCAAGAGCCAGGGTGGGGCTTCAAATAACGAAAAATTTTGTCCTTAAAAGGATGGCAAGTTATAAAAAAAATATCAAAACTCACTGGCTGATCGTCTAGTTCAAACAGCCAGCTGCTAAAAAAAATATTCACATTTAATTCTTGATAATTGGCTAACACGGTGTACCCAAAACGCCCTCATGGAAAAGATCCATGGCGTCCGCCTCGAGTACTGGAGGTGCCGAGTTCAAGCCCTGATCAAGGCTGGGATTTTCTCACGAGGCCTTCTAGAAAATTCCCCTGGTCTCTGGGTAGTAAGATCGGACGCCCGTCTGCAATGTCGTAAAAAAATCCATTGGCAGTTGGAAATCGAAAAGAGTAGCCTAATGGCGCTGGCCGGGCAAATTTTGGAGTTAAAAATCTACCCAAAGTATTTCAGGATCCTCGCCGGTTCTACAGAGCCTGTGCAATGTGCTGAGCTTCTTTGGGCTCAGACTTGATTTAGAAAAAGAACGGAGCACTTATAGGTTCCAGCCCGTGTGCAATAATGATGACCTATTGTTCAAACCTCAAACCTCAAATCCCAACTGCACCTCTTCGTGGTGGAGGACAGAAACACAATTCGGGGTGGCTAATGCAGTCTTGGGGACCGAATATTCACCAGAATAAGCGGACCACCCTGTGGTGTTATATGCTGTTAGCAATAACATTAAAGAGCAAGGTACTAACTTACACAGGCACTCTAAAAGATTGCTGAAGGTTGAAATGTTCAGCCGTGTGGATGTGAGAATCAAGGGGAGACTACCACATTATATATATACCTAGAAACACAACACGCATGAAGAACCTATGGCTAGGCGCTAGTAAATTGATTAAAGTTAAAATCTTGAGATCATGCATTTTTTCTGTGGCAACTTACCGTTGCGAGTCCTGGACTCTCACTCAATCACTAAAGAAAAAGTTTGGAGCTTTTGAATTGAAATATTTAAAAAAAAAATTATAGAACCCCCCCCCCCCCCCCCCGAAACTTTGATTAGGTACAAGGCGGAAGAGAAAAAGAAGAGTAGACAAATTCCTAGAATACCATGGATGAAGAAGTGGGAAAACATCGACATTCTACACGAGTTGAACATCAGGGGGAACTGGCCCATAAACAGCATCCTGTCCCGAAAGTTAAAGTATTATAGCCTCATCAAGCGTCATGGTGACTTGGAAAAGACGGTGATAGAGGGTGCGGTTTGTGGAAGGTGAGGCAGGGGTCGACCACCGCGAAGATGGATACAGGATATAGAAGACGCATTGGCATTAAAAGCACATGGGGCTGGAGAGTTGGCTAGGGAAAGGGATACTTTCAGGCGTGCTGTGAAGAGAGCGACGTTCTGTAAAGGACTTGCTGATTGATGATGAGGTAAATTCCTGGGAAATCAAGACGGTCGATCTAATGTTGACCACATCATCCACCGAGTGCTGATTTGTCTATAAAATGTAGGTCTAGCCCTATTTGCCCAGTAAGCCTGAAGGCGCGGGAAAATATACTTTAATTTGTTAGTAGTGGTAGCAGTTGAAACAGTGATGGCCGTAGCGGCAGCAGCAGTAACAACAACAATAACAACAATAACAGTGGTAATAACAAATATTACAGCAATAAAACAAGACCATTTATAATTTCCGCGTCTGTCTGTATCTTTCTGGCACTCTCATAAAAGGTATCAAAAATCGGCGACGAGTCCCGAGTGTAAAGCTAGTATTTGACCTACTGGTGTAACATTTATTATTCAACAGTGACAAGTTTTTCCCAGTGTTGGCGGGGAAATTAATCCGCCCCTAGGGACAGTTCAAACTTGATTAACCTCCCCAAAACCATGAACGCAAGCACTAACATCATCTTTTACTGCTAGTCATTTCCATTTATGGAAGAACGGGCGCCAAAAAAGACATGTAAAAAATATTCGTTGATATATTTCTAAACCATAGGCTACTATATAAAATAGTATCTCTGAAAAGACGGAAAGGTACCAGCCGATTCTTGCTGCTGAAACTGAATTGTTGTTTGCTGATTTTAATTTTTTTGCATTGTTTATCACGAGAAGTAGATAGAGCACTTCATCTCCGTAGTTCTCCCGATATTTGATCTTGTTTTTGACAGAGCCCCTCTAGCCAGTTTTGCCTTCTAATGTGTCACAGACACATTTTATTCTCGAGTGTTACTGATCTTTACCTCAAAGTCGACCGAGCCTAACATGGGTACAAGAAAATGTCACGGGAAGTCAAGGCGTCAGCAGGATGGTGACCACATCCCCTACTGACTTGTCTATAACAATATAAACCAAGCATCATATGCCAAATTAGTCAATGGGAGAAAAGCGTTTCTTTACTATACTTTGTGACACAATTCCGCTGTGATGGTTTTACAGCAGGACTTCGATATTTGCGCTCATGGGCCGACACATCTGACTTCTACAGGCACTTGGCCCGTCTGACCTTCCCGACTGAGCGTGTACTCACTTTCTTTACAACGTTTCCCAGGCGATTAGGGTTATTGGGCATATAGGGCAAGACCAGTATTTTAAAGACCAGTCGGCACTCAGTGGGTGATGTAGTGGTCAACATCACGCCGGCATCTTTTACTTCCCAGGTATATATCTGATACCCATTTATGGATGGGTCTACCTTGAAGTCAAAATCATTTTCCAAAGAAGGCCGACTGTTTCAGGGCTTGAACCCACAACTTTAGGACTCTCAGGCGAGAGTCTTAGCTATTAGATCACAGTTGTACAAGACCCCCCTACCCCACCTTTCTTTCTTCCAGTGCACGACGGTACTCAGTATCGGAAATTTTAGGGCCTTTTTTTAGGATTGCTGATTGGACCCTTCATGGTGATACAAGTATTTTTTAACGGTAAATATCTGCACATATTTTGTTCTTCCCGTCAGTGAGTACCAGTACATTTTTTTTCTTTCTGCAAATACTATCAATATCATTTTCAATTCCACAAGGATTTACCAATGCTCCCCTTGTTAAATAATAACTACGGGGAAATCACTAGTGATTTATCTTCAAAGAAATGAAATACCCAGCAAACAATAATCCTAGGGGAAGCCAGATTTCTAAGCATGTTCTGACTAAATGTAAACAGCACAAAAACCAGTGGGGCTGAGATTACAGGAAAAGAGCCAATTAAACAAGCACTTCACAGCCCACACCTTTTACTGTAGGAAGAACCAGCTTTTTTCCTGTCCAGTTTTATAATGTATAATTGTACTGGTTTCTTTATATCTTGCAAACTCCCGTATAAATTAATATCTAGGCTCATCGCAGTGTGGGTTGCTGGGTCCCATTTATGGAGTTGGAAGGGGGGGGGGGGAAAATTAAACCCACTGCCACTGTTCCTTAAGCATGTCGTAAAAGGCGACTAACTGACAATTTTCTGAAATCGGATGTCTTGGGCCGAAACGCGCAAATTACACAACCTAACTGTAATCTACAACACAGGGTGCCAGCCGCTTAAAAAAAAAATTATTAAAGGGGCGAACGCAGAAGAAAAAAATTATGAGCATTTTTTTTTACCTGACCAAGGTAGACATTTTCTAGGCCGCCCCATCTGGACTACACGTAACTTTGTGGCGTTGACTGGTTGCTATGGTAGCTCAAACGAAACGCACTTCCGTTGTACTGATGATATCGTCGGTAACAAAATAAAAGTTTCATTTCCTTTCTAAAATAGGCCCCTGTGACGCTGTACAGGAAAAAATTAACACAGTAGTTTAAATAAAAGATTACCCGCGTAATCAACAAATCAGATTCCGACTGGTCTAAGAAAGCCGCGCGCTTCCGAGATGGCACCGTGCTGTTAAATGTATGGAGAAATCTCTTGCACCAAAAGTAAAAATACGGCAAATTCAGGGTTATAAAAACAAAAGATACAACAAGCAGGATGACGGTAAATTCCATGCGAATTATACTTTCTTCTGTGATGATGTATCTCTTCAAGTTTCGTTTGTTGCGCAGGTAAAGGCGTCGAATGATGAGTGCATTCAGAACGCTGATTAACAGAAATGGCACAAGCGTTATTGAAAGGGCAAATGTGGAGTCAAGTGCAAAGGATACAAACGGGAAATTGGGGTCACGGCTACATCGTGCCACTTTGTAGTAGTTCGTACTGTGTTCATAACGACCGGTTAATATCGGTTTGTAGATCATAAGTACACAGGCTATAAAGATAAGACTGACGATGACTTTATGTGCCGACCTACTACCACTTATGCTCTTCCTCCTCAAAGGATGACAAACGCCGATGTATCGTTCCACGGTAAATGTGGCTATAATCCAAGCGGACACAAACCTACTGACGTAACTCAGATAAGTCTGCATTTGGCACAATCCTTGATCCTCCAAAAACGTAGTGGCCTGTTGTCCTGGTAAATATGGCAGCCCTCTTCGTAACCAATCAACCAGAACATAAAACACAAGAGCACATGTATCGGAAATTGACAGCGCGGCCAGATACGTGCTGGCAGACAGTTTGCGCATGTTTCTCGACATAAATACCATTAGGCTTAAAATGTTGCCGATGATTCCAACAGTGAAAACAATGGGCGTTACGTAGGTGTAAAATCCCTGGGATGCGGTCAGGATGCGAAGTTGGCCAAACGGACACAGTGTTTGGTTCACTGTTGGGTATCCGGGTACTCCGTTGACGGCTTGTGAGAAAGTTGCTTCTTCCATATTGTGGCAATTGGTGGTCACTGACGAATTCCACATCTGCGGAAAAAAAATTAACGTTTTTATTATTATTTGCTTCGACTTTTCCCTCCTAATTAATTCATCAGCATCATCTTCTCCCTGTGGGGATTTCAAGGCTCCATTGTTGGGGTGGGGGGGGGAGGGTTGTTATAGTCCCACTGCCCATCACAACCATGCCGTAAAAGTCGACTAAATAAGCTGTTTCATTCAAAGCTAGAGTGCATCTGCCTGAGAGGCAAGGGGCCAACAGTTCATCTACTGTAATGAAAACAGGCCAGATATGTCAAAAACACACGTGAAGGCAGAACTAAAGCTCACAAGTGGGCGAACAGCCAGAAAGTTATGCTAGAGTTTACAGCCGGTGAACATGAAGACGATGATCAATGTCATCATCGTCACCTCAATCACTTTTATCGATACCATCGATCCCCGTGTGGGTTCTGGGACCCCATTGTGTGACAAGCAAAAATAAACCCATTTTTTCCTCAACAAGCATGTCGTAAGAGTCGACTAATGGAGGGCATCATTCGAAGAAATAGTTCATCTACCTGATAGGCAAGGAACCAAGAATCAGAAAACAGATAAGCGTGCTCAGTCCTCCAATGCAGCAGCCACTCCAAAGTACTCTCCTAATCATTACGAAGATAGGTTTTTTACGGTGCCCTCTATATTGATGTACAAGGCATGCTTCTCACGTTTCATTGCCAGGTCATATAATCGTGTTAGCATCAGGAAAAACCGCCAGTCTATTTAGTATAGCGTTAATGATTTCTGCTCTGTTTAAGCAGCTTTTTGCACACAGTGGTGCAATACTTGCCAGGTGGCCCTTTCGGCCATTACCCCTTGCTGCGACATGCCCACCAGATCGATGTTTCTAGTTCTTCTGTGAGATGATCGCTCGTCACTCATGTACAGTTTGTTGGCTGTACACTCACTGCTTCTGTGAGATGATCGCTCCTCACTCATGTACAGTTTGTTGGCTGTACACTCACTGCTTCTGTGAGATGATCGCTCGTCACTCATGTACAGTTTGTTGGCTGTACACTGACTGCTTCTGTGAGATGATCGCTCGTCACTCATGTACAGTTTGTTGGCTGTACACTCACTGCTTCTGTGAGATGATCGCCCGTCACTCATGTACAGTTTGTTGGCTCTACACTGACTGCTTTTGTGAGATGATCGCCCGTCACTCATGTACAGTTTGTTGGCTCTACACTGACTGCTTTTGTGAGATGATGGCTCGTCACTCATGTACGGTTTGTTGGCTCTACACTCACTGCTTTTGCGGGCAAGTTTGAAGATAAGACAATACCAGGCGCCCAGGCACACCAAAAATATGGATGAGTGGAAGGGAGGGGGTGGTGGTTGAGGTGGGGGCCTCATAACATCCCCAGTAATATTCCAGGGGCAGGGAGGGGCACACGCCTTGTTTAATTGCACAATAATAATTACAACCACAACAATTATTATTAATATTATTACTATTATTGCGCAAGTAACATAGCGTAACAATTTCTCCTTTAAAATAGATTTAGTTTAGACCAGTGTTTCTCAGGCTTGTTCAGCCCGTGGCCCTCCTTACAGTTTAAAAAAAAAAAGTGCTCAGCGCCCCATTCTCCTTTTGAAATAATTATATAAAAAAAAAAAAAACACGCGTGATGTGATGGCTAGACAGAAAAAAAAAAAAACCCAAACTTTATCACCAGAAGCGACTCTTACATGAATGACAAGCTGCACATAAAAAAAAAATAAAAGTCACACACACGAGAAACTCAGTATGACCTTTCTCATTAACGGTGTAAGTAAAACTAAGATTGCGACGGATAAAAAAACAACAACTGAATGTTGATGTACAAATGTCATAATGAAGATGGCTCCTCGCGAAAGGTTATAATAACATGAACAGTTAGTTTGCTATTTCACAGAGAAAACATGTAATGTGTCTAAGTTCATCACTAACCATTAGTTGGTAGAAAAGTTCACAGGTGGGGAAAGAAAACAAATCATCGCGACTTTCCGCTCTAGTTTGAACTGTCTTTTACTTGTTCTTAGAGCACAGAAGTAATTTTACCTTAGGGTTTTCTAGCGTGTTTGTCTAATTAGTTTAATTATCTCGAAAACAATTATACTTTTAAATCATTAATCTTTAGTAATTTGGCATGCATTGGCGTAATGATTTGAAATTAAAATAATTAAAATACATTTTCTCGGGTATTTGGTAGCGCCCAATTTTAGTAAACGATTTTCAACTATAATTAAATTAATTTTAAGCCACCGGGCTAGAAATCAAAGTCCCCGTATGGGTTCCGGGGACAGATCTGGGAGAAATAGAAACAGATCCACCGTCTCTGAACAAGGCGACAAATTAAATCTCATGTGCTGAGCAGAAACACGAAGATACCGCACTCTAGCTGTAAGCTTCAACATAACACGCGGAATATTTAATAGGACAGAGAAGCCTGAATTGAGTATCAACATAGTTACAATACTTTATATGTGTAGTTTCATCTACGTCTTGTGTGATCGTGCGCGCGTGCACGCTAATGTATGTATGTCAGTGTGTATACATGTGCAATAATTCATTAAGGTCAGGTGACACCTGTACCGAAAACGTTCTGTCACACTCCCCCTCCCCACCCCTACTCATTGCAGGTATTTTCTCTATTATGAACTCAACTTGGGGAACATAAGCACGTAATCCCCCCCCCCCCTTTCCACATTCCCCCTCTTCCCCCTCTAACTTCGTTCAGCAGAAAAAGACGACAGAAGGAGATAATATAAAGAGTCGACAAAAAGATATCACAGAAAGCGATGAGACAAACAATCTACCTAGAGACCACGCAAGGAGATGGGATATAATCGAAAGAGTAAAGACGATAGCCTAGACAAGGGTGCGATCAGATTCAACATACAGAGATCACAGAAAGCGAGTTTAGAAAGTGACGCCAAGAAGATGTTAATGAAAAAAAAATTACCTACAGAGATGCCACGTAAATACGACATAAAGAGACGATAGAGATGACATAAACAGACGATAGAAACAGCTGACGCAAAGAGACAACGTAAGAGACGATCGAAAGAGATGGCAGAGAGAGGCGACTCATACACATACACACACAAATGATAGAACGACATAAAGAGATGACAGAAAGATATGATGGATATGACATAACGATAAAAAAAAAAAAAAAAGAATTACATAAAGCTATGACATAAAGAAATGCATAAAGAGACGACACAAAGAAATAAACACAATGAGACGAAATAAAGGTATGATAAAGAGAGGGCATAAACTATGATACACAGAAAGGACATAAAGACGTGATATAAAGAAATGACATACAAATATAACATAGAGGACATAAGAAAGATATAAAACATAAAGAAATGACACAAAGAAATGACATAAAGAAATGACATAAAGAAATGACATAAAGAAATGACATAAAGAAATGACATAAAGATACGACATAAAGAATTGACATACAGAGGCGACATACAGAAATGAAAAAAGAGAGGGCATTAGAATGACATAAAAAGACGACTTAAAAATATCACATAAAGAGACGACATAAAGAAACGACTTAAAGAGACAATATAAAGAAATGACATAAAGAGACACACAACAGGATCTGACTTACCCCAGTCAACATTTCTAACTCGGCATAGTCGTCACCGCTGAGCTTGAACCCGTCACTGTCCTGGCCAAGGGCGTCACCCAAGGACATGTTGGGTGGTCACACGGGAGAGGACATGGGTCTCGCTGCAGTGGACAACCGAAGACGGGAGGAAGTGGTTAGGGTGAGAGCTGTTGTAGTTACAAGAATGCCTAAACAATATGTCAGAGACATTGACGCATCAATAAATGTCTGCAGTGTTATTTCTGATATAATGTAAAGTTCTGTGGTACCTCGGTATACGTTCACTCTGGTATACGTTTACTTTGGCATACGTTCACTTTGGTATACGTTCAGTTTAGAATAGATTTAATTTGGTACGGGGAGTCGCCGTGGCCGAGCGGCTAGACGCTCGCCGAGAATCGGAAGGCCATGGGTTCGCTCCCTGACGGAGCCGGACATTTTCAAAATGACTTTGGCTCTCAGGTCGACCCAGCCATGATTGGGTACCGGGTGCAGTCCCGGGAAGTAAAGGCGGCTGGCGTGATGCTGACCGCATCATCCATTTTGTGCCGATTGGTCCATAAAAATATAGGTCTAGCGCTGTATGCCCTACACGCCCAAAGGCGCGGAAAAGGGTCCCTTACTTTATCTTAATTTGGTATACGTTCACTTGGTATACGTTCACTTGGTATACGTTCACTTGGTATACGTTCACTTGGTATACGTTCACTTGGTATACGTTCACTTGGTATACGTTCAACTTGGTTTAGATGCCGGGTTCGATCCCAGCTGCAGGCCATGCGCCTTGCGTTGGTTTCGACAGTGGTATCAAGAAAGCCGACCGTCCAGAAGCAATGGCAAACTACTGGACGTAAATTTGCCTAGAAAAACCACACAACAGCCAGGGGCTGTTGGGGTTGGTTCTGCAACGTCCTGTAAAGGATACGCAACTAACCTATAGCGCATAAAAAATATTAACAAAAGCGTTTAAATTTATGCAGATTAGTTTTTTTCTATTTCAATTAACTGCTGGGTTTTTAAAGTTACGCGGATTGGTTTCTCTGTGCAACAGTGCGTGACCAGTTGGACATTGAAAGGTTGCTGACGCCTGCCGTGGATCAGAAGGATTGTAATTTTAAGTCGCTTACAGTAAGCCTTAGTATTAATCCAGAAGTAGAAAAGTTGTATTGTCATCACAATGTGAAATATTACCAGTATTACATTACACGCACACACGCGGGGAATGGCCGCTGGGGAACACCATATGAATGTAATTAAGTTCTTGAAATGAAACTTACTTAGTCAATCCTCTTCTATTTTGGGGTAAAGATGTCCCACAGACATCGCCAGTTTATTATTTTTATTATTATTGTTATTATCATCACTGTTATTATTATT